GCTATTATCCAAATAAAACACAAAACAATTAAAGCATAATCATGAATCAGTAAAGAATAAAACAACAATACAGCGCAGAATCGTACATCTATTTTTATTGTTGGCCGGACGCACTCTTAGTGAAAAAGTTTTCCTCCATTAGTGGAAAATGAAGGGCGCCTTTTGCGTCTGGATATACTTAGCAACAGAAGGGCGCCCTGTACGTTGGGCACGAAGTATAGGAAACATAGAGCTATTAAACAACTAGAGTGCTGACAAGATGGCGGAGCAATGCAGAGTTGTGTATGTGTACCATCCAAGATGGCTGCCGTAGGAAAGCGCCACCTTCAGGCTCAATATACATATTATTACCATAAATAAGCCCTCTGATTGAATATTATTTCATTAATGATAATTAGTATTCATAATGACAAATTATTAAAATGTCGTAGCCAAAAAGAGGCCAAGTAGAGCATCTTATTCAAATATTAAAAAGGATTAAAATCGTGTACATTACACCCATACACCGCAACGCTCGAGTTTCAAAAAATACGGGTAACTAGCTGTACTGAACTTTCTGTGTAAATTGAGGGCGCAATTGATAAAATGATAGTGCTCAGGGGAAATTTGATTGGCTGAATCTATGGCAGCCATCTTGGATGGTACACACACACAGCTCTGCGTATTTCGAACATCGAATACATTGCTGTTAGCGCTCTATTATTCTTATTATATCTCTATGATAGGAAACTTGCATGGTTAAAAAGAAGGGCGCCGCCTACGTTGGGCACGACTCCCGCCTCATTTTTACAATGCGAGAACTCTATCTTGCGTTCTTGACCACGCATATGCGGTTTGATGTTCGCTCTGACGCATCCTCGCTCTGCCTCGGCTCGCAGTTGATGCTGTGTGTGCGTCAATAACACGCGCCTCGTCGCTTTGACTATAATTATTATTATTAGTCCTACACATTTTTTTCGTTTCTTTAGCTTGTTCAAATGCCATGCATTTCTTTATTACTTCGTTTAAAGTAAGGTCAACGTCCCAAAGTCTTTCTCTTAGTTTTCCATCCCTTACTCCGTTCGATATCTTTATCGCTACTTGTCTATTCTCGAGTTCTCCAAACTCGCATTGTCTCGCTAGTTCTCGGACTGCGGTAATATATTCAGCTAATGGCTCACTTGGCCCTTGAATTCTTGTTTGAAAATTCGTAACATAGGCCTACTTCTTTAAGAGCTTCTTTGGTTCGAAATATTCATCGAATTTAGCCAATACATTTTCTAGGCTCTGATTATGTTTTTGCCCGTCTTCAAAATTCAAATTTTTAAATACCTTAATGTATTATTTTTCCCATCGTGCAAAGTAACATTGCTACTTTCCTTGATCCGTTGGCTGTGTGCTTATTCGTGGCGGTCAAGTAGAGGTTAAAATGTTGCTTCCACTCTGCCCACGAAGCTGCTGTATTTTCGCTAAAAAAAACTCCATTTTGTTGATTTTAAACTTCTGACACCATGTTATGTCTTGCTATATTTGTTAATCTCGTGAGACACAGGAAATTCAGACGACGGCCATTATGAACTACAACAGAACCACAGAGCTATTAAAACAACTAGAGTGCTGACAAGATGGCGAAGCAATGCAGAGTTATGTATGTGTACCATCCAAGATGGCCGTCGTAGTAAAGCGCCACCTTCAGAATTAGTATACATATTATTACCATAAATAAGCCCTCTGACTGACTATTATTTCATTAATGATAATGAGTAATGGTAATAACAAATTATTAAACTATCGTAGCAAAAACGAGGCCAAGTGGAGCACCATATTTAAAAATAAAGTACCAAGGAATGAAAATTAAAATAGTGTACATTACACCAATACACCACAACGCTCGAGTCTCAAACATACGGGTAACTAGCTGTGCTGAACTTTTTGTGTAAATTGAGGGCGCAATTGCAAATGATGGTGCTTAGGCAAAATTTGATTGGCTAAATGTATGGCAACCATATTAGATGGTACCATAGAGCTATTAAACAACTAGAGTGCTGACAAGATGGCGGAGCAATGCAGAGTTGTGTATGTGTACCATCCAAGATGGCTGCCGTAGGAAAGCGCCACCTTCAGGATTAGTATACATATTATTACCATAAATAAGCCCTCTGACTGAC